ACCAGATCATCCCACTGTACCTTGCCACTGAATCATTGCAATACCTCCCATTCCTGTGTTTCAGATGCAAGTACTGTGTTTTGACACTCCATTACATTTTAGCTATTTTCCTTTAATAAAGTGAGTCCCAAGCCACCTAATCAAAGCTCTCCACTTGTTCTGATGATAGGCATAAGTGAAAGTTTTGTTATAAAATTAGGTCAATAAAGGACTGCTATATTAGGTCACTGAAGAGCTCATACACCCCCTATTACACAATGTCTGCTAGTAAAAGTGAACTACCAGTGACAAACCATGACAGTGTAACAACAGTAATGATAATGACACTTAGCTACCTCACAGTTGTTTGGAGTTCTCCACAAAACCAGCATTTTTCATGCAAATAGGAAGTCAGAACCTGATAAAAATAATTTATGAAAGTGACATACTGTTTTGCAACAAATAAGCATTATGTTAAGGCACAAAGTCTAAACACTCTTTTAGACTAGATAATCATTCCCACTGTACTTCTGGAAAGGCATAATTGTACAAAGAATTGCACTAACTCACACACATGGTCAAATAGTGTGTCACAACTGAAACCTCAGTGCTTGCAGGTACATTTTATTATTGCTGTAATATAATAATTTGTGGTGACATGAGACACCTTCTTCTGCAAACTCCTATAACATTGCTTTCATTCTTACTCACAATTTTCCAAACAGTGGTTGTAGCCAATAGTAGAGCTGAACTAGCCTCATGCAGCAACGGGGAGAACCAGAGGATTACATCAAATAATGCACACAGGCTGTCACATGCATGTCACACAGGCTTAGAATGAGGATAGAGAGAGGTTAAGCACTGGCAAGAGGTCATTTTATGTCAATAGAAGTGGAGAGCAATAAGTTCAGTCAGCTGATTATTTATCTGGTATGAAATTTTGCTTGAACATTTGGCTGTGGGATACAAAAATGCTAATGTGACTCTGTGGATATTCTTGAAAGCATAATAAATTTGAAGAGTAGATAGATAATCTCATAGAAATAAATACTTTGGCCCATGCTGAAAATGGCACTCATGACAATACTACTTAGACATTAGAGATACTGCAATAATTGGTTTCATGTAAAACAGATAGCTAAAGACATTGGATTAGTTCCCAGGAGTGTACTAGAATACATCATTGAAGATGGGTTCTTTAATTGAATGCATATAGGAATAGATATAACAGCTTGAGCCATACACAGTATGTCACAAACTTTAACAACCATGGCCACATTTCATTTTGCACACTATCCTACCCCATAAACCAGCTTGTTTCAAATTTAAAGGTACAGAATGCAGTCTATTTCCTGAAGTGGAGTTTTATATTCTTTGAGGAAGGAAACATCATCCTGATTTTTAGTGAAAAGAACCTAATATAGTCCTGAAGCAATATAAATAATAAATCTCACTGTTACACATTTATAAAGAATCCATCAGTATGATACATATTTAACAAACATGCACTTCAAATTTCATTATATATGTATTTGAAAATTAACTCCACTTCCTTGGTTTCCATAAATTGTCCTGTATAGCTGGTTTATATATATGGACTAAGTATTTTTATTTTCATTTTCCATTTTTTAAGTATATTTATAGAAATTGAAATACTGTTTGAGCTACATTTACTTTTTTCTGACTTGGGGGAAGTGGTATCTCTCCATTTTTTTCTTATAGGGGCCGTCAATATCTAGACTGAGTTTTTGGTTAAGTGCATTGGTAGGGTGTACCTACCCTGTTCTGATTTTGCAGTTGTACATGTGGAAAAGTAAATACAGAACTACTCAAGCCACAAGGACCACAGACCACTCTAATGAAATAATCAGACATCCTGCATTAAAGAATTTCCTCCTTTTTTTACTTTGAAAAAAAAAAAGTTATTATAAACCAAATAATCTCTACCTTTGGCCAAAGACAACTGTGCACTGTAATGGTTCTCGTATGAGAGTTATCATAAGACAATAGCTTTGGAAATAAAGTGCTATGTTGTCCTTTAGTGTAAAGAAAATGAAAATACGCGAATGGAAATCATGTGACTTCCTTGGAATGTTTTATTAAATCTCAATTGACTCTTGTAAATTGCTTTCAAATTACTGCACTAACTCTTTTCCCTTGTTTAGAGATGAAGCAATGTAGTATTTACTCAACAAGTCTTTCAATACTTCAAAAATGCTTCAGAAAAAGTCTTAGCTTTCAAAATGGCATACGTGCTTTGAAGCATATACTTGAATTAATGATAAATTTTTGCAGAATGTATTATTCTTTTACAGGACAAAATAAGATTGTAAATCCATAAACATCAAATTAGGTTGCCTGCAGTTTGCACCATGGTAGCCTTGTTTCAGAAGTGTTCTGAAACCACAGGAGGGAGTGGATTGCATCAGCTCTCAATCCAGTGAAGATACTTTCCATGACACGCCATTCATGCACACAGCAATTATGCTCAGATTACTCTGACCCACATGGACAGTCTTGTTCTGCGGAGCCAATTTTCTTCATGTACCGCTACCTGGGATGCTAATGCAAAAGAATTAAGATCTGCCTTAGGCTCCTTACATGCATCACAGTAAGAAACTGCACTGCACGCAAGCACTGCTGCATTTGAATGCTTAGTGCCAAGTCAGTTGTTAGTATTTCCTTTTTTTTTATTTCCTTCATAGGATACTGTAAATGTTGATGTTAACATATGTTAACATAAAAGAGGGATTTTTTAATTATTATTTTTATCAGATAAATTTACTAGCTACTACAAACCAAGCAACATACTGGCATGTGATTTGTATCTCTTCATTAATAATCTGCTCGTAACCTTTTATGCCAAGACATGAAAACTTCATTACATACGCCACAATGTTTTACATCTCCTTGGATTCTAAGCATTGGTATTTTCTTGATGGACTTTCTAAAGCATTTTTTGAGGCAGCAATCTCTTTTTTAGTTATTTTAAGGCACATCATGATGGTGCCCCTTTTTCTTTTTATCTAGACTTAGATTGTTTTTTCTTTTTCCTGTGGTAATACATTCTTCTACCCACTGAGAACTGTGACTCATTTTTCACTACCTTTTAGTCATTAGATAGTGACACCAAAAGAAAGATTAGCAGATACCTTAAGAGTTAGTGGAACTGCTTAAACACAAATAAGGCTGATATAAAAGGTCTGAACTTTTTGCCATCCACAAGTCTGTTCATTTCTACTGAAGTTCATCACTGTCTGCCACTAATCCTACAAAGCTTGGGAGGGATCAGCTACTCATAACACCAGTGAAAGCAGGTCTTTGTTATAACACTCTCAGGTTTTTTGTACATTATTGAGGCTTGTAAGCCTCATTCAGACTGTCTGTTACTTAGCAAACATTCTAACTACAATATGTGTATATAATTCAGTGCTTCAGAAAAATCTGTGCTTTTCTCCTTTTTTTTTCTGTTAATTTCATTAATCACAGATGTTTTTATTTACAATTCATGCTTACAATTTCATTCTCTATCCACAATAAATGCCTTACAAATAAACACTTTTTTTTTTTTTCCTTCCCCTTAGTGGCAAAATAATGATTGCATTGATAAAGTTCAAAGCTAGAATGTTTTGCCTGTAGTGGATTTATTATTACCGTTATAAATGTTACCTTCAAAGAGTCAAAGTTAGTTATCCCAGTCCTCCCTCTTTAATGAAATTATTTTGTTTCCTTAAACTGTGTTTAATAACTAATAAGGGTGACTGGAAAATTAATATACATCTTGCTGTATTGATTTAGTTTTAGTTCATTCTGTTTTCTCTGTGAAGTCTACAAGCCTTCGGGTCCTATCTAATGTATTAATTTCTGACATGTGCATCTTTCTACTGCCTGAGCTCCTCTGCTGTTCTGAAAAAGCCTCAGAGATTATTTAAATTCTATGCTTTGCTTTTTCAGCTGTTTACCATTTCCCACATAATTTTATTATGTACTTCAAAACATTATAATTGTACTCTAAGAAACTCCATTATCATATCAAGTCTAACTTAACACTGAACAGCGTTAAGTTTAGTCCCTGTATCCATTGTCCTGCAACTGCAGGAACATTGCCAGACCCTGCCTAAAAGTGCCTCGCAGCAATTCCATGCTTAGTGCTGCGTTTCAAAATGTACAGCTACTAGTGTTGGAGGGTAATGACTTAGTAATATGCTGTGCATAAATAGGTAAGATGCAAGCAACATTAAGATTGTAGTACTATGATAAGTACAATGAGAGCAAAGTGCATAATTATTTAGATGATGGCATAGGCAACACAATGGTGTGCTTAAAACCCACAAAATGCTAAATTCGGACCTACAGAGTGCAAGGCCACTGTGACTGCAGCAGCTTGATTTCAGCGAAGTTAGGTGCCAACTGTAGCATTACTTTACATACTTAGAATGAGCCCGACAGTTGGGAGAGATACACATTCAAAAACAGGATCCTAAACCAAGAGGGAAAGGATGAAGAACTGATCTCTGTGTATCAGTCTCAGTCCTTTCTGGGTATTAGACATAAAGAGATGGGTAAGTACATCAGCAGTTAAACTGAACTATTTGAGAACAGGGACTGTAATAACCAAAGTACTTTTTGTTCCATTTTTATCAAAAGAAATTAAAAATGTCTTTTTATATTAATTTTGTGTTTAAACTGGAATCAGAATGCTTCACTTTCAGAAGCTAAATACCAAGAAAGGGAGGTTAGACTCACAGAACTGGTGCAGAAGACATGGCTGTTTCTAAAACCAAAAAAGATTACAATATTCTTACAATCATTCTCAAATTCATCTGTCTTAAGAGATTTTAAAACACAGAGTATATTTAGTAGTGTGTATTAGTGCACTGTCCAAAGTCCTAAAGCGTGCTTACGCATCTTCAGGAAGACTTTGAGAATTCAGAACCTATGCGAGGGACTTTTCTAACAACTTAGCAATATGGCTGATTGCACTCCAGGACCCATGCTATATTTTTGTGCTTCTAACTTACCAGTACAGATGTGAAAAGGTGTCCCTCTCAAAGGAGATGCACCATGCTCTGTGTTACAGGGGGGCTGTTCTCAGTCTTGCCTGCTGATTATGTTCAGTTGCATCAATTACTTAATATATTCTGAAAAAAGGACAATTTCTCTGAGTTCTGGAAGGCAGATGATTGTTGTTGCTCCTTCCAACTGAAATATTCTATTCATACATGGTGCTGTGCTATACAAACTATGTCTTCTCAGTATAATTTGAAGGAATGACCTTATCCACAGAATCCTTCCTGCTTGAGATCTTCCTGAGGCGTGGATGGTATCCCAAGTTTTATAGATTCTGTAATCTCTTTCCCTACTACTCAGAGCTTCTATAAGCACTTCCCCTGGAGGATGCAGGCCCGTTGTAAGTCTGAAATGCCAAACTAGCTGAATACAAGTGTCAGGAGATCCTGCAGAACAAGACCTTGCTCAGGCAGAATTCACGAGCATGACCTCTGAAGGAAGTTCCTTTCTGCACTGCCTAAGGCCTGCCATGTCCCCCATGACCAAACAGCTGTCCTGCAAATTAAACTAACATTTCTTACCACTTCCCATGGATTCCAGATCATCAGCTGCAGGCAAGAAACCAGTGCAGCAAAGGATGGCCCCTGAAAGGCACCTAAGGCAGCTAGTTCATCACTACCAGGTATTCCCATTCAAACTTATGTCAAGTGAGTGGCGTAAGTTTGAATAGGTGAGGACTTTATCATATAAGGATAGCAGACTTTAGGTGAGAAGATTTATTTTTGTTTCTAAATGTATTCTCTACTTTAAAGGTCATCCTATTTTATTTAACAGACATTCATGAAGTACATGGTCCCATCTGTTTCACTCTTGCTTGGAAGCCTGACTCTGGGAGATGAAATAGAATTTTGCTCTTTTCTTAAATTCTACTTTGCTTTGAGCCACGCGTCATTGCAATGGGGAAACTTCAAATTTCTATACTTATTTTCTGTGCTAAACCCAGGTGAACTTCCATCTTAGCTTGCTTCTTTGACAGGCTTTCTCTACCTCACTCAGGCCCTAGCTAGATGAATTTGCATTTAATTTCTTAGGGTTTCATAGCCTTCTATGTTGCTTCTTTGGAGAGAGACCACTTGCAAGTTCCCATGCCCTTTCAACTAAACAGACACTAACTTCTGCTTCTGTTTGATCCATGACATTAACCTCCAACTCTGAACTGTTACATTTGAAGGACACAAGGTCTATCACACCTTCCCATGCTGACCCCCATAATAATTCCCTCTTAAACAGCCCAATCTATCTCAAAATCCTTCTTGAAAACTCTGTTTGAAATGTCTTATGAAACATTTGGGCAATAGCGCACTGAGATCACAGACTCTCATGCAGATCAGTAACGGTCAAGTATTTCCTCATATTCACTCAATTGCACTTCCATTAGCTAATTTTAGATGCTCAGATCTCCAGAGGCTGCCTTGTTGTTCTGTGTATGGTATCTGGTCCTTGGTTTGGGTTCTTAATTAATGGCAGTGATGCAAATAAATATTTTGACATAGAGATAGGATTTCTAAAGGCTCAAAAACAAAAGTGAGAAAAAAATTAATTAAGTCTATGTAAGGATTTGAAGGTCTGACATGTTTTTTATAACACTAACTGACAAAACGATTAATACTGGTTTAAAGTCAATGTAGGAAGAAATGTTTGTACAAATCAAGTATTCTGAGCTTCGTATCTTCTGCAAGGGAAAGATACCTAAACCCTGATATTTCACATCACTTTATAGCATTGTAGTCTATGCTTATCTACAAGATTAGAAGCTTTTCAGTAATGTGCAGAGCTTGGATCTTTAGAAAGTGGTTTTGTTACTTATTTCTCTTTAGTAGAAGACATCTAACTTTGCGACTGGGTCAAAGAAAACAGTGACATTTTATGTAGTATTAATTGCAGATAAGAAAGAAAGAGTGTCCAAAGCCAGAGGAGAAGGAGCAATGGTGAGCAAGCAAGCAGGAAAAACCTAGAAACGAAATAGTAGTACCAGATCCTGCATAAGCAAGCTTCATTCACAGCTGTTTCATTATTGAACCACTCCACTGCAACACTTGTAAATTCAAAGAATAGGCTGGATGCTAAAATTAAGTGTTGCTCCTAAATACCTAGAGACCATAATGGACAAGTAGATGAGCCAGTACAATACTAGGACCAGAAAGTCTAATGATACTCCTGAATGTAACAATGATGGAGTAGAGGACCAAAATAATAATTTATTGAGGTGTTAGAACTGTAAGAATGATGGAAAGGCTAAGAAAATATCCTTTCACTGAGAGACACAGGACTCACACACACTAATGAAAGTGTTACTGCAAAGTAACGAGTTGGCACATGTCAGTTGACCCACAGTCACCATCTGGGTACTCAATCTTGGTTTGTGGCCAATGCAAAGCAATTCAAATTGGCTCTGCCCTCTTCAAAACAGGGAAGTTGATCAGCTTAGTTTATCAAGAAATAAAACTGAGAAATTATTTCATTACAGTGTATAAGAATGCTCACAGGGAGAAAAGTCTGAGTACTGAATAGCTCCTCAACCTACAGAAAAAATTGTAATAACAAGCAACAGCTGGAAGATGCAGTAATCTTGACTTGCCTCTGTCAGAGTACACTGACAGAAGCAATGGCTTCTCCAAACTGTGAGTCTTGAGATCAAGGCTAGATAATTGTCTAGGGTCACCCAAGCACAAGTCTTCAGCTTCAGAAACAAGAGAGCTGAGTCAAATGCACAGTCTGTCAAGCAAAAAGGCCTAGCAGTTTCACTGGGATGGCAAAGTTCTGAATCTATTCAATGAAAGATTAGAAGCTATCGCTGCTTCTGGCCTGACCTGCTATGTAAACACAGTCTACAGAATTTAAAATTTCATTGTGTGAACTGTCTTCACAGTATCACAGTATCACAGTATGTTAGAGATTGGAAGGGACCTCGAAAGATCATCTAGTCCAATCCCCCTGCCGGAGCAGGAACACCTAGATAATGTTACACAGGAATGTGTCCAGGCGGGTTTTGAATGTCTCCAGGGAAGGAGACTCCACAACCTCCCTGGGCAGCCTGTTCCAGTGTTCCGTCACCCTCACTGAGAAGAAGTTTCTTCTCAAGTTTAAGTGGAACCTCTTGTGTTCCAGTTTGTACCCATTACCCCTTGTCCTATCATTGTTTGCCACTGAGTAGAGCCTGGCTCCGTCCTCGTGACACTCCCCCTTTATATATTTATAGACACTTATAAGGTCACCCCTCAGTCTCCTCTTCTCCAAACTATAGAGACCCAGCTCCCTCAGTCTTTCCTCATAAGGGAGATGCTCCACTCCCCTAATCATCTTCGTTGCCCTGCGCTGGACTCTCTCCAGCAGCTCCCTGTCCTTCTTGAACTGAGGGGCCCAGAACTGGACACAATACTCCAGATGCGGTCTCACCAGGGCAGAGTAGAGGGGAAGGAGGACCTCTCTCGACCTACTAACCACCGCCCTTCTAATACACCCCAGGATGCCATTGGCCTTCTTAGCCACAAGGGCACAGTGTTGGCTCATGGTCATCCTGTTGTCCACTAGGACCCCCAGGTCCCTCTCCCCTACACTGCTCTCTAACAGGTCGTTCCCCAACCTATACTGGAACCTGGGGTTGTTCCTGCCCAGATGCAGGACTCTACACTTTCCCTTGTTATATTTCATCAAGTTACTCCCTGCCCAACTCTCCAGCCTGTCCAGGTCTCGTTGGATGGCAGCACAGCCTTCTGGCGTGTCAGCCACTCCTCCCAGCTTAGTGTCATCAGCAAACTTGCTGATAGTACACTCAATTCCCTCATCTAAATCATTGATGAATATATTAAATAATACCGGTCTTAGTTGTATACACTCCAATATCAAACTGAAGATGCAAGCACTAGAGACTGCATTGATTTGCTGCAGATAGAAGAGCTGCTGCAAAATTTAAAATTTAGTGTTATTTGCCTTTCAGACCCCCCAAGGCTTTCACCCCTTTCAAAATTTCTAAATACATATGGAAGATACGAAGTCTAAAAATGCTAGTTTCCTAAGTTTTGGTAATAGTGTAGTAAGTATTGCTCTGAAGGTAATCACCATCACCTGATACAAAAATGGAGATGTAAGATCCACATATTTTTAGCAAGAATGAGTATTTATACTCAATCTGGTCACAAATACACTCACGTACCATGTAACATACAAATACATGTTTAATGCATTAGCACCATAACAATTTATACCTGCATATGCTCCATCAACTGAAACATGCACAAGACTTAACAAAGAGGGTGGTTTATAATACACAGTTATGTGGAAACAGAAGTTGAAAAGCAACATAATGGTGGCAAATTTTATGAGAGAAAATAAGGAAGTTTAGAATGGAAAAACTAGTAAGAGTTAGAAAAAGGGAAAGAACATGCAGATAGTCATTGTTCATCTGTTTTGCTACAACCAGTAGAATGAATATGGTCGATAAGCTTTATTGCTCATGTTAAAGGACAACTTCTCACAACACTAGCAAGGATCACAATGGGCTGTAACATCTGGGTAGGCCTGCAGTTATTTATATGGGCATTTTACAAACTGCAGCAAAATAGTACCTGCTGACTCATCTGAATTCCCTGGAGAGTTTTAAAACCCAGCAATAAAGAATCATTTACAGACAGCTAATAACTCCATCACCAGAGGAGAGTTTCTGGGCCAAAATACAGGCTTCCATTCCTTTCTGCATGAAGAAGCTAGAAGTCCTAAGGGCTTTGAGGCCAAGAGAAACCACTGCTGTGGACCACATTCCCAGTATTCCCAATGCAAGCAAGCACCATGCCCTGCTGGTGACACCTTGCAAATCTCCTTTTCTGCCCATCGGTCACAAATGCCACAGCTGTGGCTGACCTGTGTTCTTTCTGTCTTGAATAATCCTTGTCACTTTATATTAAAGTACAAGGCATCTCCTCCTCTTATAACACTACTTCGAGTACAGAAAAAAGCTTTCTAAGAATTTAGATACAAATGTTGGCCTAAAACTATTTTTGCACAGACCTCTTGGGAATTTGTCAGCATTTCTCAGCTTTATCTCCCTCAAAACTCGGGCACAAACTCGTAAAATAGATTAACTTGTCGAAATACAGATTATGAATTGTGAGGGAAGAGCCTGTCCCTGCCACCTCCGGGCAGCCACGGAGGGGACAGTGCGAAGACCTGTCCTGCGGGCTTCCACCCGTTACATCAGGTAGGCATGGCCCCTCACCTTCCCCTGCCCTTGGTTTTTGTTGTTAAACACGATCTTAATTACAGGGCTGGCTTCGCCTTGCCTGCCCCTCGGATCACCCAGCCACAGGCTTCTCTTCAGCTAGAGCCGCACTGCTCCTGCCACAGCTTCCCGCTCCCTCTCCTCTCCTCAGCGGGGCTATGAGGGAAAGAGGGAGGGGGGCGCCATCTTCTCCGGGCGGGAGTCAGGGGGCGAGTGCGCGGCGGCAGGTCTCCTCCGGGCGTGCGGTGACTGAAAGGGAGATTCACGCGGCCGCGCCTCGGCCCGCCTCCTCCCTCTGCGTGTGAGATCGAGGAGCAAGCGCAAGGGAGGGCGGGGTATGGAGAGAGCTCCCGCCGCCGCCGCCTCCCCTCCCCACCGGTCGCCGCTGGGCGTGTGCCCGGCCCCGGTGCTGCGTGACCGCGCACGGAGGAGGAGTGTGGGTGCGGGGAATTTCCTTGTGTGGTGGCGGAGAGGGAACAGCACCGCTCCAGACGGCGGAGCTGCGAGGAGGGCGCTGCCGCCGGTTGCCGAGCGATGTGAGGGGGGAGTCCCCCCTGGGCCCTCCCCTCCCCCCGGAGCCGCCTGTTCCCCCCCCTCCTCCTCCTCCCCTCACTCATCCCCGCCCCGCCATGCCGGACCAGATCTCCGTGTCGGAATTCGTGTCCGAAACCAATGAGGATTACAAGTCACCTACTGCCTCCAACTTCACCACCCGGATGGCCCAGTGCAGGAACACGGTGGCGGCCATCGAGGAGGTGAGTCCCCGGAGGAGAGGCGCGGCGGGGAGGGGAGCGGGCTGCGCAGCCCCCTCCGGCCTGGTTGTCCGCCGCGGCGGCAGCAGAGAACAAGGCACTACCGGCACTGGCTCCTGCCGCTCCCTCTCCCCGCCTGGCCCTGAGGAGCGCCCTCGACTGCCACTGAGAGGAAAGCGGGCTCGTGGTGGAGCGGGGAAAGAAAAGAAGGGGAGGTGGGGGGAGGCTGAGGCGCTGCTGCCCTCCGGCCCGCGGACTCCCGCTGCGCCCGCCTCCCCCCTCTGAGCTCGCCCCTCAGTGCACAGCGAGGCTGGAGGGCTGGCCGCCGCCTGCATGGCTTCTCTTAGTCTGGGGGTAGGGGAATCCGACCCTTAGCTTCTCTTTCTCCTCCTGATGCCTGCGGAGCCCTAATTCGGTCGGTTTCTCCCGCCCTCTCACCCTCCCTCTTACCTGGGGGGTTATTTGAATTCTCCAGCCTCCCCTCTCTGCCCTTTCCTTTACAGCGACACCTGAAACGCCTCGGCTCCCCGCGCCTTCTTCCCGCCCCACTGTGGGGGGCTTCGGTCCTGCCAGCCCGGCGGTACGAGAGGTTGGAGTGTCCTTTATCAATGTGTGTGTGTGCCTGCCTGCACAGGTGGGATTTAATCTTCTTTCCAGTCCCTGTGCGTAGAAATTTAAACATCTTCTTCCCCTCGGACATATGCTTTAAGGTAGCGTTCCCTCAGGAAACGCTTCTCCAGGGCCGTGAGGCGATGCCTGCCCCTCGCTAGACAGCCCCCCGGAGCGGCGCCGGCTGGGCTTCCCCTCGGTGCGCGGGAGCCCCCTCTTCCCTGCCAGGCTTGGACAGCCTGGGCTGCAAATACTTAGTAGGAGTCGCTTTTGTCAGAGAGCGGTTTGTTTTTCTTTCCAAATATTCGAAACGTGCAATTGAACCTGGCGGTAAGAGCCCTCCCTGCTGCAGAGGGTGGCTGCCAGCGCTGGGGGAAGAGAGAGAGACTGAGAGTCTTCCCTCGTGTTTCAAATAGGAGCGAAATCTGGGACAGGTCTGAACACAGTGAGAGTACATTCCACATCCCAGTTGTATATGCACAATGAAAGAGGAAGCATCTGTGTATCTGATTCCTCTAGCAGCTTCTCTGAAATAACTTGTAGGAGGGGGGGATCTTGCTTGTGATGCAGATTAATTTGCTCCATCTACTTGTTACATCAGTTCTTACATTGAGTGTTTAGTTGATTTGTTTTGCAGTAAGCATGTATTTTAAAAAGAGCCTCTTCAGCAGTCTTGTCAGTAGTTGATGTTCCTTCTTACAAAAGAACTGCCACTAGCAATGGATTATTAATGTGTCTTAAGTGAACAAAACCTGGGTTAGGTGTATAAACACCCTTTTCAAGATTTTCCTGTTTTGCCAGTTCCCAAAGCCGCTAGAGCAGAGAGTTGAATTCAAAATAATCTGCACAGAAGTAGTTAGTTTTGTTCCTGAGATAATTTTCTTCCCTGCAAGCTTGCACTTAAATGCCTAGGTTTAATTATACCTTATTAACCTGATAGTCTTAACATCAGCAATTCTGAATTAAAGGTAACTTTTTCTTAAAGATTATTTTTAATAGTGAATCTGTTGTAAGGGAGAGCTGCTTAATAGTTGATTATCACAGAATTGAAGTTAGCATTTGGGTCAAAAGCAGTTTTGCTGGATTTAGGGATTATTACAAGTCTCATGAAAATTGGTCTTTCTCTAAATCAATTTCTAAAGCTGTATGTTTGCAAAGATGTAACACTTCTCAGAAAAAACCAAAAATGGTTTAAATTTCTGATGATACAAAATTTATGTATGACGGCATAAAATTTGTAACATGTGTCTTAAAGTCTTTTAAAGATTTAACTCAATAAGTTACATTTTGAAAACTTTTTTTACATGAGGAGAATGATATGCATTTACAAATTTGCATATGGTGGATTCCTTATTTAATCTGCTTAGCATTTGTTTTTGTGGAGAAGTGTAGCAGAGAAAGAAAATCAGTACGATAAATCTTTGTATCTCTGCATATTTTGGAAATCAGACTCTGCTATTTTAGGTACAAAAATTATCTCTTATATTAATGATGATAAAGAATGTGCCTACTGTCTTATGGATCTAATTGAAGTTTGCAAGGCAGGATATGAGAGATTGCACTGGCTATAGCTGTTTAATAGTATTCTTCTATCTGGCACTTTTGGCAAAGTATCAGTAGTTGCTGGCTGTTTGTGTGCTGTCCTAAAGCCTGTGTTGAAATGACTATTGATTATTTTTTTTCTTTGTGATTTATCAAGAGGAACAAATTAATTTTCAAAACTGTAAGATTTTTTTTTTTCAAATCCAGACTTCTTTGGTTTGGAAATACTCAGGTCATTTAGGATGATGTGCCTGTTTTTTCAGGTTGTGATCCTTTGATAAAAAGCTGTCCATAAGTTGTGTAATAGAGATATCAGTGCTCAGCACCTTTTTTTCTAAAATACTAGGCAAGAATTAGTTCATCAGCTTGTTATGAACTAAGTCTAAGTAAAGAATGCATCTAAAAATGTACAGGTAAATAAAAGAGCTGTGCATTTTTAATGTCACAGGCACTGTAGAGCATCAGTTTCCAGTGTGTGCTGCTGTGTTGCAGTAGACAGTACAGTTCTGAAAACTAGGAAGTCCGGCTGTGTATAGTTTAGGGAACATGGTATTCAAAACAGTTATTAGGTAAGTTGAAGCCATGCTGACTGCTGCCTTTGTGTAGGCATTGGTTTTAACAAGAGACTGGAAGAGTTATTTAATTGAAGACAGTTAAGTGTTTGTTTTCCAGGATATTGAATACATGCATTAAATAACAAATTAAGTGGTTAATACTGGTGCTCTGAGGATGTCTTTTAACTGCTTTTCCCAGCAAATCCATTTCTGGAATGGACTATGCACTGCCTGCATGAAGCCAGCTTGAGTTTCCCAGGCCTCTCCTTGGAAGCAGAGGCACAGGGGAAGGCAGAGCAAAAGCACAGGAGGTAGGGGCTAATGTGGCTCGTTAGCCTGAGCTCAGCTCTGTGCAAACATGGATACCTGCTTCCAGATTCCACTGGGAAGTCTTTTGCACTTTTAACATTGTGGCTTACCAGTTTTGTGATTCTTAGGTAATTAGCAGGTATCTAATAGTGTCTTAAAAGTTTAGTTAATGAGGCCTTGCTTTCAGTGATGGAGTAGAAAAAACTTGGTAAGTGAGGAAATCAGTAAGATATTGGACAATTATAAGTGTATAATTTACCAGTACATCTCCGTGGGCAGTGGTATTGCCTTACAAGTTCAGAAAACACTGATTTATTAACTGACCTGTGTCAGTTCAAAAATATGATTTTTTTTTACTGGTTTATGTGATTGTAACGCTGCTTACAGACCCTGGATCATGGCCTTTTGTGATCACCAGAAGCTCCTGCACTGCAGTTTGGGAACTGATGCCTATTCAGACAGTTGGAAGAGAATCTGATCCTTTGCAGTCAGTAGTGGAAAAGGGATTAGGAAAGGCGTGCTTATAGAACACAGCATGATTTCAGAGGAAAAGGAATCATGTAATATCTACATTGTTCTCAGATTAGGGTGTTGCTTAGCAAAATATTGGGAATCTTTAGCTTCTGCTAAAACAAAATTAAACGTGAACAGCATGTGTCACAGGCCCTTACAGGTTACTGTTTAATCTTTGCGTGTGTGATAGTGACTAAGATTAAACAAGTTTTAATTGATAGAGTGCAGAGCACAGCCACATGACTGGGGGAGGAGTTGCTTGAAATCAGTAATCTAGTCTGACAAATGCAGTCTTTTTAGTTGACTTGCTGTTAAAGGTCCCAGGATCTAAAAATGTGTGGTGACCATTCTTAAGATACAAAAGCTTAAAAATCTGATTTTGGTACTGCTATTTGGTAATACTACACATCTTTCTTTTTTGTGCTATAAGTTAAATAAAATAGTCCCTAAACTGTAATGGAGCCTGCAAAGTGGTCCTAATACCTGTGAACTTTAAAGATTTTTAGAAATTATTTTTTATAGTATTTTAACAATTAGAATCCAAGTGTGTGACTTTTGAGCATGAGTTAAGTTTTACAATAAACTGGAACTGAAAGCCATAAAAATCCTCCCTGTTTATTTATGTTCTACCTGTTTATCGTGGTCCAGTGCTTGTGGACCAAGAAAGAAGGGTAGGGGGCTGTTGTGCAGGTTACTGTGTGAACAGAGAGTAGCAGGCAGTTCATGCGCCAAAGACATTTCCATCTAATGTCTTGGTGGTGAGGCTGACTTGAGGTGTAAAGTTTACCCCACTTACTTAAACTTTGTTGCATGCATGGATTTCCCTGTGAAGAGAGGAGAATGGAAATATTGACAGTTTAATAAATTACTGGAACACGCTCCCCACGATAGTAGCTCTTGCTGCTGGGATGAATGTCTGTAAGAAGTAGACAGGATGAATCCTGTAAGAAGTAGACAGGATGAATATGTGGTGGAAAGATTGAAAACATAAAATCAAATGAAACAGTACAGTAGTAGTGAGGCTGGTCTTAGTTCTCTGCATAGAAGTAGATTTTAATTGTTTGAGGTCTATTTAAAAGCCACTCTGCAGGAATTTTGTAAAATCCTTGCAATTAATGTTAAAGCCATAACTTGTAGTTTTGGGCCTCTACCTGCCTTTGTTCTATAGGCCACCTGAGGGAATCCCACCATTTTCAGCTGGCTTGGAGAGGCATGAGGGATTGATGATTACTGAGTTTTGTTCCCTCTTGAATGTTAAAATTCTTTAATTCTCTCTGCTCCATTTTGGTTCTACGAAGCTAACAAGGGCAAGAAGGAATAGCAGCTTGATAGGGTGGGTGAATGTGAGACTGGAGACATGCATACATATGTGGGTTTTTTTAAAATTTCTGCTTTCCCCATTATGTATTTTTTGCTTGTCAGGTCTTTAGGACTGGAGTTCTGTTTTCCTATAGTGCATGTTTGTGACTTGTTTTGGGAAACTATGTGAAGAAGGTGTTTTTGTGTACTTAGAGAAGCAGTAGGAAATGTCATATGTTGCAGTGCATTTTGAGAAATTT